CTATCAAACCTTTAAAATTGAAAGCACCAGGGGGACGCCTGGTTGGCTCCGTTGGTGAAGTGTCCAACTTCGGTTCAGGTCATGATCTCATAGTTCGTGAGTTCAAGCCCTGCATCCGGCTCTGTGCTGACAGCTCAGAGCCCGGAGCCGGTTTCGGATTCAGCGTCTCCCTCTCTCTCTCTGCCCCTCCCCCGCTCACGTTCACACGCGCTCTTTCTCTCTCCCAAAAATAAATAAACAGTTAAAAAAATTTTTTTTTATCGAGAGCAATATGAATCATGAACACAAAAAAAGCGTTTTTCTTTCTCTCCTTCATTGTTTCCAAAGGTCAATTCATGTTTAGGCTGTAGAAAGCTGCAACACCACTCCTAACCCAGGAATGAGAAAAAAAAGGCAGGACCTACAAAACCAGTTTTTCTTGAGCCTGTGAGGGAGCTAAGCCCATCCCCAGTGGAATCGTGGCCAGCCCCTCTGCGGAGAGGCAGGATGTGTGGACCGCTTGTCCTTTCGCAGAGCACGGAGAAAATGGACAGCCGGAACGACAACGGAGGAGAAAACAGCTAACGTTTTCGTAAATTCCGAAAGGCCTCACCCGGGGTATCGGGACCGTTTAGCATAACTGGGAGCCCCAGACGCAGCAGAGACCACGCTCACTCTCCAGCCCTCCCGAGGGCCAGCGGGGACGGGGCTCCTACTCGACCTTGCGGGGCAGCTCCCTTTCCCGGACCCAGGCCACGGGAGCCCCGCTGCCTCTGGGGAAGAGAACAAAAGACACCTTCCATCTATCTGATGACGCTGGAAGAAGAGCCAATTGAGCCCAGAGGAAGCCGAAGCAAGGAAACCATCAAGGCAAGGACGGCGATCGATGACACGGCGGACAGAAACAGGGAGTAAATCAATGAAATAAAAGCAAATGGGACTTGGCAAAGATCAGTGAAACGGACAAAGCCTCTAATTCAGATGCTCAGAAGAAAAAAAAAAAAAAAGGACACAAACCATGAATATTACATACCAGAATCACACAGACTTCAAAAAGAGAATAGAGCAATATCAGGAAGCATTTCACGTAAACCAATTTGCTAAGGTCCGTAAAGCGGAAACATTCCTCGAAAGACACACACACCTGAAACTCACTAAAGAAATCGATGACCAGGTAGTCGAATTGGCCCCCTGAAGAAACAGAAGCCGCCACCAAACTCCGTTGGGCTGTGAACACAACTCCAGGCCCAGAGGGTATCTATCCTACAATCTTACACAAACTCTCTCAGAAGACAGACAGGGGCAGAGCTCCCAGCCTGTTTGATGAGGTGAGCGTAACCCCAATAAGAAAGACACCGCAGAAAAGGCAATCAAAGACCAACAGCCCTGCTCGTAACAAACACGAAAGATACGTAAAAAAAGATGTTAGCAAGTCAGATGCAATATTTTACAAAAGGGATAATGCTCAATCACCAAGTTGGATTTAACCCGAAAGGTAGGCTCGGTTTATCATTGGAGACGCTATCGGCTTAATTCCCCATATTCACAGAGGAAAAGAAGGAAAAAATATGATTGTCTGAGTCGCAGAAAAAGCATTTAGCACTCATTCAGCATCCATTCATGATTTAAAAAAACACAAAAAACTCTCACAAACTTTAAAAAGTCCCTCTCACGGAGGGAGGGGTGGCAATTTCACGAGTCTGACAAAGAGCATGTATGAGAAACCTTGTACTTAACATCACACCCAGTGGTGAAATATCGACCACGTTCCCCCAAAGATCAGCAATAAGGCAAGGCTATTGACTCCCATGACTCCTGGATAACATTGAACTACAAGTCCCCGCAATGTAAAGCAGCTCGAAAAGGAAACGTAAGAGCACAAAGAAGGAAAAAATGGACAGAGACTCTCTTTATCTGCAGGCGACGTGATTGCTAGGTAGAAAACCTTAAGGAGTTTGGGGGATACCTACCAGAACTATGAACCGAATTTAACAAAGTCACAGAATAAAAGCAACTAGAGAACTTAGTTTTGGTCTTAGGCATTAGCAACAAACAATTGCAAACTGAAATTTCTCAAAAGATTCCATGTGTCAAGAATTGCAAAATCCTTTCGTGATACACGTGTAAGGGCCACTAACTAAAAACCACAAAACCGTGGAGAAAACAATGAAGAAAAAAAAAAGTCCTAAATTAAGTGGGAGAGGAACCACATTCCTGTATCAGACTCAACATTAGGAAGATGTCAGTCTCAAGCACTTTCCTCTGTAATTCAATTCTTCCCCCATCAAGGTCCCAGCAGGCTTCATTAATAGAAATTGATGGAATGATTCTAAAACTTATATAGAACTGAAAAGGACTCAAAATAGATCTATGATGATAGAAGTGTTCTACTGAGCATTGTAAATGTGATTACTGTAGGTGAGGAACCAAATCTTTTCGTTTTACTTAATTTTAGTGATTTAAATAGCCACACGTGGGTCCAGTGACCCCGCCACACTGCACGGCACAGACCTGGAGCGTCTAAAGCAACCTGGGGAAGCCAGACAACTGCAGCATTCACACCCCCGCGCCCCCGCCCCGGGTTCAAAGCTTACTGTAAAGTCACAGTAATCGAGATAGCACAGTGCTGGTGTGGGAACAAAGAGATTTACGGAACAGAATAAAGAGTCCAGAAGTACACCAACGATAGTTGGTCACTGGATTTAGATAAAGTCACTAAAGCCATCCAATGGAGGAGACACAGAAAGTCGACAAGTGTTTCGAAAACAATTGGATATCCATACAGGGAAGAACAAAAAACAAAACACATTTGAACCCTCATACCATCCACAAAATATTGACTTGAGATGAATCAGAGACCTACATGTGAAAGTCAAAAGTACATTTTTTAAGAAGAAATTAAAGAGTATCTTTTCATCGTGTGGGTTGACAAGTTTTTTGAACTGGGGTTGGGGTGGGGTGGGTAGAGCACTAGGGAAATTTCTGGCTGGTGACGTTCTGTATCTTGATAGGGGCTTGGCTGACGGCTGTGTGTGCATTTTTCAAAACCCGCTGAACCGTGGACCTAAGACCGATGCTTTCATTGTCTGTGAATTAACCCCCCAGAAGCAAAGAACTGTAAACAGATACTGAAGTCTAGTTGATGACATGCATTCTCAGGTCCTTTGGAGTGAAGTGTACTCATATCTTTAACCTACTTTGCTACACATTCAAGAGATCTATCAAGGATGGGGAGAAGGATGGATGGATGGATATGCGGTACAGGAAATGTAGCAAAATGTTACTGATAGAATCTAGTTGGTGGACACATGGATGTTTACTACACAGGTTTTTCCCCAACTTCTATGTATGTTGGGAATGTTTCATAAAATGTTGGGGGGAAAGGAAGGTATACCAATGGCTGGTACCAAAAAAAAAAAATGCTCAGCATCATTAGAAATCAAGGAAATGCAAACTAAAGCCATTATGAGATGCGATTAAACGCCCACCAGAAAGGCTGAGATTAGAAATGAGTGGCAGTACGAAGCGAAGACAGAAAGGTACATCGTCATGAACTCTCATACACAGCTAACATCAACAGAAAGGCTGGCCGTTTCTTATACTTGATACACCTCACCTCTGACCCAGCGATTCAGCTCCTGGGTATTTACCCAAGAGAAATGGAAGCACAGGTGCACAAAAAGACTTCTAAGGAACTGCTCACAGCAACTTCATTCGTGTTTGCTCAACCTGGAAATGGCCTAGATGTCCATGAACATGGTCTACCCGTAGAATGGAGCACTAATCAGCAATAAGCAAGAATGAACCACTAACGTATGATGCCAACATGGATGAATCTCAAATACAACGTGATGAGCAGAAGAAGCCTGGACACAAAAGAATGCACGCTCTAGGAGTCCATGTGTATATTAAGTTGCAGAACAGTCCAAGCCAATCCGTGGGCGTAGAAATTGAAAGAGCGGTGGCAGAGATGAGAAGAGACCATCTGGGAGAAGGCACGGGGAACTCTCTGGAGTGATGGAAATTCTCCGTCTTGATTTTGGTGGTGGTTATATGGGAGAGACATTTGTCAAAACATATCAAAGAATGAATTTAGGTTCTGTATGTAAATTCTATCTGTATCACTGCACGTAAATTTGTATCTCAATTTTTTAAAAAATGAATATATATCACAAGCCAGGGAAGAATAGCTATGAAAGTTACATACCTCCATGTAATGAAACATTATGAAATCCTTAGCTTAGCTGCAAATAACGTTTTTAACAACATGATAAAACACGCATCATATGAGGTCAATTTTATGAAGGACACAAAATTGTATATTCAGTGTAATCCCCAACCTGGAAAAAAATAACAACTATTTCCTTGAGTCTAAGATGCTATTGATCTTAGGACTAAACACAGATTTTAGGGGCACCCGGGCGGCTCAGTCGGTTGAGAGTCCAACTTTGGCTCAGATCATGGTCTCAAGGTTAGTGAGTTCTACCCCCCGTGTTGGTCCTCTAGTAAGGACCTGCTTGGCATTCTCTCTCTCTCTCAAAAATTAATAAACATTAAAATAAAGACTAAACACTGATTTTAATAACTTTTCCTCTTTGATTCCTCGACCAAGTTTGAGTCTGAGCCCCCTTCACCTTCCTTGGGCCTCCGCTCGGATATGGAGAGACCATATGGAGAGATTCTCCACTTGGAGAGACCACATCTACCCTCCTTCCCTAATACGATAAGCAGGTGGCTTTATTATTCTTCTCTCATAAGAATGAGTATTCCAATGGGACAGTGCCTCTGTCTTACCGTTACCTCTTGAGCTTCTAGAACAGCACCTGGCATACAGCAGGTACACAGTCAATGGGCTATTGTGTTTGTTTTTCTTATTCAGATTCCGAAGGTTCTTCTAAACCACTCCAGGCAGCTGAAATGCTCAGGGCAGCATCACTCTGACTTGGTGATTTTCGTGTCCTCAAACCTCCTTTAGGATTGAGAATACCAGTGTTTTTCTCTGCTTTTCTTATTTTCTTATGTTATAGCTTTATGAGGGTTTTTTTTTTTTTCATAACGTAAGTAAATTACGCGTAACTGGTTTATCGAAGAGTCTCAACTTGTTGGGAATATAAACAGAAACAATTTCATTTCTTCCCAACCCCTGATCCGAGTGGGATGCCAGACCCCCCCCTGCTTCCAAGATTTTCTTGTCATTTTTGTCTGCAGAACAGTCTCTTGGTGGTTAAGACTGGGCTCTGTTTGTTTCTAAAGAATGTTCAGCTCAAACACAGTTTGGGACCTTGTCCCCTTCCTTCTCCGTGGGGCTGGCTAGAGCTCTCTGGAGGCCTGGTGGCTTGAAGGGGCTGGCGAGGCCTTCTCTTGACTGGACCTCACTCGGCCTCGCCAGGCCACAATGACCCCCATGGTGGGGCCGCTCAGGGGAAGAAGGCGTGCTCACTCCACCCTGGCCACCTGACCCCGCTCCCATCTGCCCACCTCTGCTGGTGACGCCCCCAGGGAGGGGGTGGCAGTCACAGTCACTGCTCCGATGCACTCTTTCTTCTTCGCCACATCCTGTGGCGATCCGGGCGGCCCTCCCCCAAACAGCGACTCGGGCCCGGGCTCCCTCCATTGGATGCTACCGCCCATGGCACTACTCGGTTTCCCAGGGCGCCTTGACCATGGGCCCTGGTCAAACTGGCAGAAGGGGAGGAAGCGTGGAAGACGCTTCCCACCCAGTGGGAAAGGAAGCTTTTGGTGCAGGAAGAAGAGAAACCAAGTTTGGTGAAGAACCAGCCAGGCTGCGCAAGCTTCTGGTCCTGGGAGAAGGCAGGCCACGTGTAATCCCTTCGGGCGTGGGCGCTCAAGGCTTGTCAGCAGCCGTCTGAATCCAGAATATATACTTTATTCACTGCCTTTTCTTCTCGTGTGTGAGTCTTGGCTGCAAGAGGAAAAGCCCAGCTCAATGCCCTGCCTCAGCCATTAATGGCTTTTCCCCACAGGTGGAGGCCGTAGCAGATGTCCTGAGCCCCGGGTGGCCATTGGAGACTCACGGGCAAATCACACGAGCCCTTCCCATCATTGAAAATGCTGATCTGGGGCGCCTGGGGGGCTCAGTCCATTGAGCGTCCAGCTCCGGCTCAGGTCATGATCTCACAGTTCGTGAGTCTAAGTCCCGGGCTCTGTGCTGTTAGCTCGGAGCCTGGAACCTGCTTCAGATCTGGGTCTCCCCCTCCGTCCCTTCCCCACTCGCACTCTGTCTGTCTGTCTCTCTCTCCCAAAACTAAATAAACGTGAAAAATAATTTTTTTTTTTTTAAAGAAAAAGAAAATGCTGATCAATCACCGGAGAGGGCTGGCAGTTTTGATCAGTTTGATTGTGGCACTTGGGGAGTGACCAACAGGTTTCTAGGGACACACTGCTGTTTGGAATCCAGAAGTCTCCACAGCTACACCCAGAAGCCATGGAGCCTAGGGAAGGACGCCTGACAGAGGCACCAGGGTCAAGTCCACAGAGCCGTTTGTGATGCGGGGGTCGATCGGTCGCCTGGGGGTTCAGGGAGGCTGTGGGAGATAGTTAGGGTCACAAGCTGCTTCCTGCCCCCCAGGAGCCTGCCCACTGGGGTGGGGAGATCTCAGGAGCAGAGGCTGGGGTAGGGGAAAAGGCGGAGCAGCCACGCTGCCCGAGAACCAGCCCCACGGGACAGTGATGGGTTTCCAATGGCTCCTGGTGAAGACCAGCGACAAGCCAGATGGCGCTGGATGCCAGGGCCTGGGCAAGCCACACCGTGGGGTCTGCCAGCCAGACAACCGTCGGGGACCAGTTTAATCTTGTGGTTTCAGGCTCTGCCCTCTCAGTGGGAATTTCCCAGCGGGAGGACAGGCATGTGAAGGGTCTCCTCCCGGCCTTTGTTCGTGCAGCAGGGGAAGAAGACAAAGCTACTCAATGTTAGAAAGTCGTGGATAATACTCTTATTTGTCGGGGATAAGATTATACGAAAATCCAAGAGGATCGACTTTAAAACTTGTAAAAAAAAAATTAAGATATCATACAATGGCAGCATAAAAAATAATGCAGCATCAGTCTCTCTAATACAGCCCTGCAAAACCCATCGGGGAGAAAAAAGAAATGTGTGTCACTGGCGATAAGAAAAAAATGGCACCTGTTTTAAAAATGGCACCCATGTGGGGGCATCAGGTGTCTCAGCTGGTTAAACGTCGAACTCTTGGTTTCGTCTCAGATCACGATCTGAGGGTCGATCTCAGGGTTGGCGAGCTCGAGCCCCAGGTCAGGGTCTGCACGGAGAGCCCACACCCTCCTTGGGATTCTCTCTCTCCTCTCTCTCGGTCCCTCCCCTCCTGGCGCGCACACTCTCTCTCCCTCTCAAATACGTTTACAAAAAAAAAAAAAAAAATGGCACCAATGTGGATAAAAATACAAACTTCATATGGGACCGAAAATAGGATGTAAATGAATGGAGGACTGTAATCTGTTCCCAGAATGGATGAGTGAGCATCACAGTGATGTGCATTTTTTTTCCCAAAGACGTTTATAGGATTAATTAAATTCTTATAAGAATTCTAACGCAATTTTGTTTCATTCTAAGGTTTACCTTTAACAACCCACATTTGTAAGAGCGGATGCATACGTGCTTGTACGTGCTCGTGTGTGTGCCTGCGCTATAGTGTGTGTGTGCAAGTGAAAAAAGGCTAGGAGGGAATATATAGAAATGTTAACTATGTTTCTCCGGGTGGCGAACGTGCGGAGTTTTAATCTTTTACATATTCTAGATTTTCTAAGTTTACGCTATGCATACTACCCTGAACTACGGATGCTACCATAATCCAAACAAGTCAACAAGTACTAAGTGATGACGTTCGCCAGAGAGAGATCGAGGGAGGATAGAGAAAAGCTTGTAGCCCGCGCAGAGGTGGTGAGCGTCCTCAGGAGTGGGCGGCAGGAGGTGGAGGCAGGTGCAGGGACCGCGCACCTGCGGGGCCTTGCTGCCCCTGGGCTCCGGCGGAGAAGCCCGGCCACGATGGTTCCCGTGGTCCCCGTGGGTCCTCCCGGGGGCACCCTTGGCCCTGACCTGCTCGCTCTGGGCCGCGCACCGTGTGGGGTGCCTCCTGGACCCCCAGGTGCTGAGCTGCGGCCCCCGGCACGGTGGGCTGCTGGCCTCCGGCCACAAGTGCAGGCAAGAGGCTGGAAACCTTCCAGGCCCCACTCGCTGGGAGACGCACACGGCTCCCAGTTACCACTACCTTTCGCAGTTGAGATGTCTTCATTTCCGATCTGCCGGATGGTCCCTTTATTACATTCAAATGCTTGTGTACATACATCCAGTAGTGTGTGTGTGTGTGTGTGTGTGTGTGTGTGTGTGTGCGCGCGTGCGCGCGCGCTGCGGGTGGTCTTTCCCGTCCTGTGCCTGGAGCTGAAGAGGGAGGGTCCGGCCCAGACCCGGCGGTGGCTGGGACAACGGCCCGCGTCACACGGGAGCTGCAGCGGGTAGAGGTGAGAGACTAGACAGACAGTGGCGAGGAGGCAGGCAAAGAGGGATCTGGCGACCAGGTCCAGGTGGCGGGAATGGCGCTTCCAGCCACGTGGCGGTGGACAGTGACTCGCCCGCTCTGGCCCCACGTCCCTGCCGGTCAGGTGCTGTGAGAACACCAGCACTGCCTCGGGCTGCGGAGGGGACGTGGACGGAGTCACGGGAGGCGGCACGGCACCGACCACACAGTACACACCCGGGACAGCCTGGCAGTTACGCTTCCCGTGAAAGTCAGGAGCAAGACGGAGGACAGCAGTAGCAGCAAATGGCATCGGGTGGCAGAAAATGCACACTCAGAGCAACGGAACAGAATACAGAACCCAGAATGGAGCCGCAAACGTATGGCCAACTCACCCTTGACAAAGCAGGAAAGAACATCCAATGGAATAGAGACGGTCTCTTCAGCAAATGGTGCTGGGAAAACTGGACAGCGACTTGCAGAAGAATGAACCTGGACCACTTTCTCACACCAGACACAAAAATAAACTCAACACGGATGAGAGACCTAAACGTAAGACAGGACACCATCAACATCCTCGAGGAGAAAGCAGGCAAAAGCCTCTTTGACCTTGGTCGCAGCAACTTCCCACTCAACACGTCTCCGGAGGCTAGGGAAACAAAAGCAAAAATGAACTGTTGGGACCTCATCAAGATACAAAGCTTCTGCACAGAGAAGGAAACAATCAGCAAAACTACAAGGCAACTCACGGAATGGGAGAAGATATTTGCAAATGACACGTCAGATAAAGGGTTAGCATCCAAAATCTACAAAGAACTTATCAAACTCAACACCCAAGAAACAAATAATCCAGTGAAGAAATGGGCAAAAGACGTGAATAGACACCTTCCCCAGGAAGACATCCAGATGGCCAACCGACACGTGAAAAGATGCTCAGCACCACTCAGCATCAGGGAAATGCAAATCAAAGCCACAGTGAGATACCACCTCACACCCGTCAGAATGGCTAAAACTAACTCGGGCAACAACAGATGATGGCGAGGATGCGGAGAAAGAGGAACCCTTTTGCACGGCTGGTGGGAAGGCAAACTGGTGCCCCCGCTCTGGAAGACAGTGTGGAGGTTCTCAAAAATTAAAAATAGACCTACCCTACGACCCAGCAATCGCGCTACTAGGCAGTTATCCACGGGATACAGGGGTGCTGTTTCGAAGGCACACAGGCACCCCCGTGTTTATAGCAGCACTATCCACAATAGCCAAAGGATGGAAAGAGCCCAAATGTCCATCGATGGATGAGTGGATAAAGATGTGATGTATATACGCAATGGAGTATTACTCGGCGATCAAAAAGAATGAAATCTTGCCGTTTGCAACTATGTGGCTGGAAGCGGAGGGTATTATGCTAAGTGAAATGAGTCAGAGAAAGACAAAAATCATATGACTTCATTTATATGAGGGGACTTTAAGAGACAAAACAGATGAACATAAAGGAAGGGAAACAAAGCTAATATAAAAACAGGGAGGGGGACAAAACAGAAGAGACTCCTAAATATGGAGACCAAACTGAGGGTTACGGGAGGGATTGTGGGAGGGGGAGGGGCTCAATGGGGGAGGGGCACTAAGGAATCTACTCCTGAAATCACTGTTGCGCTAGATGCTAACTAATTTGGATGTAAATTTAAAAATATATACATAAATGAAAACATAAATAACATTGGGAAGTTCCGGAAACTCGAATAAAAGGAGGCCACAAGGTCTGAATGATGGGACAGATGGTCACAGGCCACCATCCCCGGGACGCAGACTCTGAGACGAAGGTTCACCTGCGAGACGTTTACTGGGAAGCGGTCTCCAGGTCAACACCAGCGGGGAGGGAAGGGAGCAGGACTGGTCGGGGAGAAGCCGGTGTGGTCACAGTCTCCAGGCCGGGCAGTCCCGCGGGGGGCTCTGGGGTCACCCCGTGTGGACCAGCCCTTGCGTGTATGCAGCCACAGGGAAGGAAGCAGGGCCGCGGTGAGACGGTGCCTTCATCTGCAGAACTGCCCGAGAGGGTCGGCCACCGACGCCCCCAGCGCCGGGTCAGTGAGCGCTTTCGGCCCCGGACGGGAGCCTGGGTGGCGCACCGCATCTGTTCTGGAGGCAGACAGTCGCCACTCGATGGAGACGCTGCTGGGCGCCGTGAAACCCCGAAGGGATCACTTGAAAAGCCACACAGGCTACCCCGTGCTCCGTGAGGTGGTCCGATAAAAACCCCACCGGACTCTCCTGTCAGCAGCGATGACCTGTCAGTCGGTATAAAGGACACTCACGAAAGGAGCGTGATGACGACAGGACCACATTCCCTGGGAACCATTCAGCTGCCAGGATGCTTACTGCAATTCCATTTGACAATGACGATCGTAGGCGAGTTACCTCCCAAAAGGAAGGGGGTGGTGCGAGCCCAGTGCGGCAAATCCAGAGACAGAATAGTATTCATTTATCAGCCGTATTTTCAAAAAACGTCATGATGTTGGCAAGTTCTCATCCCATATTAAGTGAGGGGAAAACAAAACAAAACAAAAACAGGCTAATGAGCATGTACAGCGTGATCCTGTTTTGTAAAGAAAGGAAACAGGACAAGTGGGTGTGGGGCTGGCTGGAGGTTCCAGTTTTCCTTGGCAGGTGGCCTGGGTGATGTGGACCCAAGACTCCCAGCTGTTGTGTGTCATGCTGTCCTTCTGGTCAACCACTGAATGTCTCCCCAGGCGGCTCTTCTGTCAGCCCCCGGGGCTGGGTGCTGGGGACACGCACGCATGGGACACCAGCTCTGCCCTCTAGGAGCGCGCCGTCTAGTGGGGGAGAGAAACATAAGCCGGATAACATAACGTGACGGTGTTTAATAGCTGTAAGCCTGGGGTGGGTGTGGGGTGTTGATCCAGGAGGGCTTCTAGGAGGAGGAAATTTGACCCCGGTCCGGTCTTTTCGCGGGACTCAGAGCACGAGGGGAGGCAGGAGGCAGGACTGAAGGGGGCGGACTGAGGGCTGTTAGGAGAAGCATGGGAAGGCCTGGGTAACAGAGCAGGTGCGGATGAGGGACATAAGGTTCCCGGCCCGGGGACGACACGAATAGAGCCAACACTCACCGAGAGGGAGACTCAGCGGGCCCCGGGACAGAGCTCCTCCAGATTGGGTACCTCCGAGCGCAAAGCAAGAGCAGGGGTCACGCAGCCACTGAGGAGGCAGGCCTTGTTCCAACCCGGGCTCCTGGTCTCAAGCTGGGCCACACTGCGGGGGGTGGCTGGGGGACCTCAGCTCCGTACCTCCACTGTCAGGCGGGGTGGGTGGCTGGGACCCTGTGACCCTCTTAGGATCGGACATCTGGGGCCAGCCAGTAGGATGCTAGTGTGTCCAGCTGGATTCTAGGCCTTTCCGTAGCAGAAGACACCGAATCGGCAAGACTAGCCAGTCGAGGCACAGATTTTAACCCCCGTTCCCAAACCACCACCCGTCATAGAGAAGCAGTTAGCGGAGGCCCCAAGGGCAAGGGCCTGGGCTGGTAGGAGGAAGGGGCCGCCCGGACACGGGCTTCCACCCTCCACACCACTCACCGAAGCAGCCGCGCCTTTCCAAGCTCCGCACCTGTTCCCAAGATCTGGGGAAACCTCAGAATGAATTGTTAAGCTCATCGGGTGAGGAAGATTAAGAAAGCCTCAAGGGGGAGAACCCTCCTGGATAGGAATACGAATTATAAAACCGAAGTCGTTTTAAGAAGGGACGCAGAGGGGAATCGGTAACACATAAGACTTTCACACATGATGAGGGAAGCAACACACAGAAAGAACTAATGGGTGATTAATTGATTATAGATGATTAATTAATACAGGATTTCAGGGTGTTTAAGTATTTGGAAGGAAGTCCATTTGGAGCCTCACCTCCCACTATATGCCGGACTAATTCTAGAAATAACCGTATCAACTCTAGGAGGAAAAGACCTTCCATTTAAAACGCTGAAAGGAGCCACAGAGGAGCTCAGCTCTTCTCCGACCAGCGGCTCTGAGCGGGCAGGACCCTTGCCGGGGGGCCTGTGGTGACCAACGGGTTTTGCAACGATGCTCGAATCTTCTCCGCCTTTTCCACTCTCCCTCATGAGTGCACGACGGCATTTCTCAGAGGCTACCTGCTAAGTGACCTTGCAACAGATGAAGTGCTGAAGCGGGTGTGAGACCCCAGCTGTCTTCTATGCAGCCAGGCGCCGAGGAAGTTTGCAGAGATGGAAAACAATGCCCCTCTTCTCGCTCGTTTTTTTCTTTTGTTTGGGGAAACACAGTTTTCTCTAAAATAGGCCACTTCGGTCCTCGTGTAATGAGTTTATTTTCCAAATAGTATTTTCAAACAGTCTCCGATTTAATTTACAATTTGGCAAGTGTTAATAAGTAAGCTCTACGTAAGCAAAAGGTCTTTGGGGTCCTAAGGGGATTTTTAATGGCGCAAAGGGATTCGGAGACTCGAAGGCTGGAGGACCGCTCTTGGTCTGCAGGCATGTGGGCCGCGGCCGCTCCCCCCCCCCCCCCCCACAAACCCCCGCCACCCAGCACAGCCACTCGTACACCCTGGCAGAGGGTTACTGAGCGCCCGCGGTGTGCCGGGCATGGTTACAGGTGCAATGATACAGCCGAGAACGAGAGGGACAAAACATATGTGCCTGCGTTGTGTCTGTCGTTAGAGTCTAACAACAGACAAAACGGTCCAGCGGCAGAGTGGGCCGGCTGTTCCAAGAGGTCAAAATTTCAGTCACACGCACACACACGCACAAAAGTAAAAAGGTGGACACACGAGCAGCCGGTGTGACACATGACAGGTTAATATCTTTAATATATAACGAGCTCATACAAATTTATCGGACCCCAGTAGATAAGAGCAAAGGACGCTGACGATCCACAAAAGAGGAAATACACCTGCTTAACACGGAAAAGATGTTCGACTTGGCAGCAAAGAGACGCAACCCGAAACGCAGTGCTACGTTTCGTGATCAGATCAGCCAACGTTCGGCCAGGTGATAATGCTCGGAGCTGGCCAGATGGTGTAGCGGGCACGTACATCCTTGCTGGCGGCAGTGTCATCAATGGATACAGACGTTTCTGGAAACCATTTGGTCAATACGTGATGAGGGGCTCAAAGGTTTTCGTATCAATTCGATAATCCCACCTCTGAGACTCTAGCCTAAGGAAATAACTCGACAGCGGCGGAAAGCGTGATGCATGAAGAAATTCTCCCATTTCTGAGCGCGAGAGGTTAGAAACGGCACGGGTGACCAACCACGGGCACTCCCGTCCGGCTGCGTGACGGCTTACACGGCCACTTCAAACTAAAGTTAGCAATAACACGTACTGGGGGAGAGCCCCTGATAGAAGTGAAAACATCTACACGATACCGTATCATTACAGAAGGCAGTGTCACAACGATGTCCGAACAAAAAGAAGAAAAACCATGATGGGGGGGGGGGGGCCAAGGGCGCGGCCTGGGGGGAGAGCCACCAAAATGTTAAAATTTTGCTTTTTCCACTTTCTCCCTCATTTTCCAAAACTTCTAGGAGGTGTAGGCTGGCGTTGATGATGAAAAGACCTGGTAAGCGCGCGGTTACTTGTTCACGGGAAGGAGCTCGTGATGGGTCCCTCCCATCCCTTCGACCGCGTCTGCGGTGCGCCGTCCGCCATCACACCCCACGCTGGGACCCCGAGGGACGACAGGGGGTCGTCAGCTCTCTCCACACCGCGGACCTGTCCTACACCCAATCCTCTCCCTACGGTCGCAAGCCACCACGGCTGCCAGACTCGGTGCTCGGCTCTTCCTTCGGCAGAGTCGTCTTGTCCTCAGC